GTGTGCACAAACTGCAGATTCTTCACACAATATACCCAGCAAAGGCCATTCAGGCCGACTACACCGTGTCAGAGTTTATGCTGACAGACAAATACTGGTCCATGACACCAATTCCCCAACTCTTCTCTAAGCCAGAATATTGACTAACTTAAAATGATTAGCACAGCACAGAGAAGTTTAATTGACTGCCAGAACCCAGGGAGCTTACTAGAATGTGGTTATCTAAGGCTGAGATCTCAGTTTTACAGACTTTAATTCACTAATGCAGCCCATTAAGTTGGTAATTCTGATTACCTAGCATTACATTGACTGCAATTATTTCTTTTTTGCACACGGTAACCTTTCGTTTGCACAGATTAAATTTTATTAGCAGAAACCTGAAAACCAAATTACTGCTTGTGAACGAGAACCAATGTTATCACTATTCAATGGCCTGTATCTGTCAAGTGAGGCTTTTTAAACCACTAGGCCTATTAATGACTTACTTTGTGCACTCCTGCTCCTCATAGAGAAACAATTATCATGTTATTATACAGCACAGAAAGAGGCCAATTGGCCCATCTTGCTGATGCAAGAGGCGTCTGGTCAGCCCTGCCTTTTGCAGATAGCCCTACAAAACATTCACTGTAACGACAATATCCTCTCACTTTTCCATAGTATCAAGATTTTTCCTACAAAAGGGCCTCTGAATTCATACCATCTATGGGCTACTTACAGATGGTTCCCGAGTTACAAATGTTAGATTATGAATGCTCGTAATAATGTACGTACTAATGCTCGTACAGCCGCATAGGGCTGTAATTTTAAAGACACAACATATGAACATTATAACTCTATGACTCTAAATGAGATAGGGCCTTTGAAACACAACACTTGTAGCAGGCCCTATGGCCTTGTCTGCTGCCTCACGCAGGAGTGAAAATCCCGGCCAAAGTATCGTGTCAATGATCTTTGGTTAGAACTGGCAAAAGTTAGAAATACAAGAGGTTTTGAGCTTGTTGCATCAGTAGAATTTCACTAGTTGAAACTGCTCGATTGCAGAACAGTTCCTTTATATTATCCTGCATTGTGTTCTGACTTGTGAACCATTCAACTTGTGAACAGACTCTAGAACGGAACCTGTTTGCAACCCAGAGACTGACTGTGCACAAGTTACACCTCAATGATTTAGAATGCAGTTGTATGTAAATGTTTTGTGATGGCTATTTTTGACACAGTCTTTGCTTTTGGATCTGTGCCACTTGGTATCACTTTGCTGCATTCTACAGGACATTTTTACAAGGCTGCTACCATCTGCCAAGATGCAACACCTAACTCCGCTGCACATTCGCCTGGGTGCCCCTTCAGTGGCACCACCTAACCTAGATACCCAATGCTCGCTCACTCCCACAATGCTCTGGGGTCCTGGCAGAGCTGGGCAACTAGGAACTTCTGCAACACTCTTCCTCTTGGCACTCACCCTGCCATCACCCACACCCCACCCCCTCCCCACCACCAACACCACCACCTCACCTCCCAGCCTCTCCTCCAAATATCACTCACTTTGTACAGGACAGTCAGAAAAGTGTACACCTTTTCCAAGATCGGCTGGATTGATCCAAGGACAGCAGGGTTGTCAACTCCTGCACAGCTTTACTAGAATCCTTGATGATCCGGAAGGATTATCATCCTGTGGATTTCCTCAGGCCACTATTCAATTGGGAAGGAAGCAGACTCTTTTCCACCAAATGCCATTTCCCCAGCCTGACCAATCACAGTGGGGTAGCTGGAGAAATTAGTTGTGCAATGAGCTCATTCCTGACTATGCTCATGGATTGGTTAGATCTATACTCAATGGAGTTTTTTTTTACTGGATGAAGAGGGTGAGGAGGACTCATAGAAACCTATAAAATTCTATCAGGATTAAAGAGTAAATACTCAAAGAATTTTTAAAAAGTTCTTTTGATGAGGTCATAGTTGGCTAGACCAGCACTTAATGCCCAGAAGGCAGTTAAAAGTTAACCATATTGCTGTGGATCTGGACAAGGATGGCAGATTTCCCCTTCCCTAAAGGGCATCATTGAACCAGATGGGTTTCTCCCTCCCAACAACCAGTCATGGACTCCTGATCATCATTAAACTCTTCATTCCTGATTTCTATTGAATTCAAATCTATATCTGCTAATGTGAGGCTTGAACCTGGGTCCCTAGAACTCTACTGAGGTCTCTGTGTTAACAAGTCAGTGATAATACCACTAGGCCATCTCCTCCCCATTTCCAATGGTGATATTCCCGATGACCAGGGAGTCCAGAACCAGGGGTCACAGTTTAAGGATATTGAGTAGGCCATTTCGGAACGAGTTGAGAGAAATTTCTGCACCCAGTGAGTGGGGAGCCTGAGGAATTCGCTGCCACAGAAAGCAATTGACGTCAAAACGATGAATTTTTTTAAGGCGTAAGATATAGTTCTTAGGGCTAAAGGGTTCAAAGGGTATGGGGAGCAAGGGGGAATGGGGTCTGAGTTGGATGATCAGTCATGATCATATCACTGACTTCAAACCAGTGTGGGTGATCTCTTTGACTGACAGAGATAAGAGACGGAGACACAGAGGACATTAATGTCCAGTTTGAAAACATCCAGACAGATCTTTAAAAATCTAAACAGAAGTTGCTGGAAAAGCTCAGCAGGTCTGGCAGCATCAGTGGAGTGAAATCAGAGTTAATATTTCAGGTCATTTGACTCTACCTCAGACCTGCATCTGCAGTTCTTTCGGTTTTCTTTTCTTTAAAAATCTAACTGTCCAGCTCCAGCTGAGAGAAATGACAATTCCAAACATGAGACTACATATTAGAATAAAGCCAGGAAATACCACAGGAGGAAGGGTCTGAGGAAGGGTCACTGGACCTGAAACATTAACTGATTTTTTCTTCATAGATGCTGGTAGACAAGCTGAGCCTTTCCAGCAACTTCTGTTTTGATCAGGAAATACCATAAACCGTGTCTGAGGGTGTGGCAGAGTCTGTGTGGAGATAATATGCTGATCCTTAGAAATGTTTCTTGTGTTCTTTCCTAATGCAGGCAAATGCAGGGCAGCTCTCTCCCCCCTCAGGCCCCGGCACTACCCCTGGGCTACATCTCCGGGACGTTAATTTCAGATATTGAGACAGACCTCCCGGATGAGGATGAGGACAATGAGGACGAGGAAGAGGCTTTGGAGCTGGCCAGGCCTCTGCGGGGTATTGCTCACACTCCAGGCTCCAGCATCGATAACTTGGATAGCTCAGTGACAG